GAATGCAAATGCATTCAAGATGTGCAATATCTTTACAATAGATTTTTCATTTTTTATTGATTTCATCTGGTAAGGGATCATCCCACGAGATTTGTAATTTCCATATATTTTAAAGCAAGATTTTTGCTGCAATTATGAAAGGTGCTAACCAACCAAGTGGATCAAAGATTTTCAAAATAGAAGTCAAAATCATTCTATTAGTAGAATGCTGTATGTTCTCGAGATTTTCAAAGTGACAAGTAAACTCGTCTTGCGTTTGATACCACTCCAAACCCAATAATTTTATTGAATTAGTATCAACAATTGTGCATGAAGAATTAGCGTTCTGAGCATTCAATGCAGTTTTTAAAATCGAGCAATCATTTGTACACCATTTACGCAATTGAAAACCACCATTTTGTAAAAGTTCACTCAGTTGTGAAATAAACTCTACCATGTTCTCTGCTGTGTCTGAACCAAATGTGACATTATCAATATAACAGTTTTGTAATATTATCTCAGCTGCTTTTGGGAATTTAGCTCCTTCATCAAATATTAATTGTTTGAGTACGCGAATAGCCAGATATGAAGCTGAAGTAGTGCCGTGCGCAACTGTGCTCAACCTATAAGTTTTAATCGGCTTCGATGGATCATCTCTCTACAATTATTTTTCGGTAATCATGATCTTCATCATGATTTTGAACTTGTAGATACATTTCCAATAAGTTGCTAGTGATGGCTGTGGGATAGTATCTAAACCTCAAAAGAATAGTAAATGAGTCATCTTGCAACTTGGGATCATTCAGTAGCGTGTCGTTAAGCGATCGATATCCCTGATGTAGTTTTGGCACTAGTATTGAAAACAACGTGTAGTTTTGTGGTAAGACTTGATTTCTTTAGCACGGGATGATGAGGTATGTAGTAATGCTCATTTACTTTATCTAGATTATCATCGGATAATTCTTCCATATGTCCAAGTGATGAATTTTTGGACATGAAATCTTTATATTGTTGATATATTTCAGGAGATTCAGAGAGATTTATATTGTTGATATATTTCAGGAGAGAGAAGTTTTTGTTCCAGACTAAGAAACCTGCAAACAGTTAATGGTCTGGAATTGCCTAACTTTTTTTTTTTTTTTTTAGGTTTGAATGGCAATTTTACTGAGTAATGACCATTTTCACTGCAGACGTACGTGATTTTCCACAATATGGTTTTCACACAATCTTTCCTCTTTAGTTAAAGGTTTTGATGTGGGAATTTGTTCGAATTCCCAAAATGATATAACTAATTCCTCAGTGTTTACATTTAGCGTATTGGCTGAAACTTGCTCATGGTTTGGGAATTCAAAATATGTAGTTCCAGCAATTACCATCCTAACTTAGAACAAAATACAAATGGAAGATTTTTGTCCCTTTTAATTACCTCTCCATTGATTAAAATAAGGAATACATTAACTCCCAGCAAAATATCAATTTCTCCCAATTCATGAAATGTAGAATCTGCTAAAGTTAAATCTTAGCTTTTATATAAATTCAAAGGTAATGTTACACTTGGAATGTTTCCTGTAATTTTGTCTATTATGTAAGCGGATGTAAAAATTCTGTAACTAGTATTAAAATGAGGTGTAAACAATAAGTCAACTTCTCCAGTAGTAGTTGTATTGAAACTTCCTCAGCATGACACTAATATCTTCGAATCCTTTATGCTCAATCCTAAATTGATAACTGTTTCCCAATGAATGAATGATTTTTCACTACCTGAATCTAGTAAACATCTACAATTTATGAATTCATTTTTTGAGTTTTTAACCTTAATTAAAGCAGTACACAGTACACAAAAGTACATGACTACGTTTAACATTAGCATGAGCTCCAAAATGGTGATTTTCATAGTTGTTTGCACAAACAGTTCGAAAAACATCACTCAAGTTGTTTTCTGTTTTTATTTTCGATTTCAGAACAAACACTTGTGCTTCCGGTGAAAAGAAATTAGATGCATATTTTGGTTTGAAATTATTTTCTAAAATCAAAATGCTATTATGATGCTTAAAACAAAGTTTACAAGTATTTGAACTCTTACACATTTTAACTTTATGGACATTAGACAAGCAATTAAAACAAAGTTTATTCAAAACAAACTCTATTCATTTTTGCACTGGTAAGTTTAAAAAATTAGAACATTTGTGTAAAAAATTATCTTCTTTACAAAATAAGCAAGTAGAATTACTAATCAGAGAAGTAACCCTATTATACACTGGTTTATCTGATTTATGCGTTTTACTAATTAAAGGTTTACTGTTCTGTAATGTTCTAGCGTAATTCTTCAAAAATTCTATCAAGTCATTCAATTTTAGTATTTCGTCTTTTTTTAATTGACGCTCCCACCACAACTTTGTCAAAATATCAAGCTTTTTCAAAATAATATACATCAACAAAGTATCATTAAAATTATCTGTCTTTTGATCTAATAATTCCAATGAGCGAGTTATTTCATTTACATTACCTACTAAATTTAATATCGAGGATGCAGATTCCGTTTGTATATGTGAAACATTAAGAATTCTTTTAATAATATAAGCAAATATCTGTTCTCTTTTATTAGAAAATCTCTCTTCTAGTAAATTCCAATCAATACTGAAATTTTGATTACTTATGGGAATTGACTGAATAATGCGATAAGCATCATTTTTTAAAGAACTCTTTAAATATTGTAATTTTTGAGCTCCAGAAAGATTTGGATTGTTGGGAACACTAGCATTAAATAAATATTTAAATGTTATCCATTCTGTTAAATTTCTGCTAAATGTGGGTAAAGATAATTTTGGTAACTTAAAACTTTCAGCGGTTGATTCAGGTACGACAGGTTTGTCGCCATTAGCATTTACGACCTTGTCCATCTTTAACTTACGAATAATTTTTAAGTGAACCTCTTCAGTTTTCTCTAAAATCGACTGTTCTTCCTCAACGAAAGTGTCTACATTATTATTATCACAATTTGTATAAATTTTGCTAAAACGAGATTTGAAATCTTCCTTAAAGATTTTACATTTTCCTAAGATTAATTCTGCTTCAGCATTATCTAAGTTACCATAATATATTTTCTCGATGAATTTTGTTAACTGTGTTTTCAAAACTCTCTTTCGTTTTTTTCTGTATCTGACATTTTGAAAATATTCTAAATTCTTGATTTTACTAATATACTTTAATCACAACAAAGCAGCAATAAAGAAATGTCAAATGCAATTAAAATGCATTAATGTTTTCACTCACCTCGTACACTGTATCCATTGCGTAACTCTTGATAATTCTAAACCGAAAGTGCATTATCAGCAACATCATGAAGACGTAAAATTTTTATTCACAAGCGCATTTTTTTCTCGAAGTTCCGGCATATGATGGAACAAATATTATGTTACGTAGCGGTATCTAAATTTAAATTAATAAACATAAGAATACATCTTTGCGAGCGGCATGTAATTCAACTTTTATTCAGCGATTTCAACTTTAGAACAGCAAAAAGGCAAAGCGTGAAAATTACAGTTAGCGTTTTGAAGAATGCAAAAACAAAATGCGACTGCGCATGCGAACTGCGCGTCGCAAAATAAGATCTCACAGACAGGCAGACAATCTAGTGGCCGAAACAGCTGCAAAAACCACATCATCATCATCATCATCATATATGTATATATATATATGTAGCTTTTAATAAAAATTGTGTATTTTAAAAATTATTTGATTATTTTAAGTAGTTAATTCTGATTGCCAGTTTTGGGGAGGGGATGATCATTAACCCTCTCGCTGCATAATTTTTTTTATCAAAATAGGTTAAAAAATTGTGTTACATATTTCAAATTTGTAACTATAATTATATATATTAAAATTAAAATATAAAAATAATTTTGAGAATTATATCATAAAGGTTGTTGGAAATTGAAACAGAAAAATAATCATATAAAAGCAAAATTTTGAAAATTAATCTTGGTTAAATTATGATTTATTTTATAAAATGCCAAGGTAAAATGTATATACTAATGAAAATAGGCAAAATATTTACAAAACATTTATTAGAAATGAAGTTTAATATGATATACTTTGAAACAAAGCTTTACTTTGCAGTCCTTTCACCAAATTTTATTTCCTTTGCATTCCCCCCCCCAACAAACAGCACACTGTCTACGAGTCTCTTTCTTGATGTAATTAGGTGGTATATGGCTAGCAAAATGTCAGCCAGTTAGTCTCATGGGATTGAGAGCTAAGCTACATCTGCCAAAGTAAACACTGGAATTTCCTTCTCAATAATTTGAAAAAGAAACTCTAGAAGCATTATATTTCACTATGGGTTATCCTTTTCATGAAGAATAAAAGCATTCTACAGTGATTACATTTGAAATCAGAGTCAGAACTGCTATTAGTGTCAGAAATATTGTCAGGAATGAAGGTTATATCACTCGCTTAACGCTTCCTGCCAAACATCTTTGAGTTTTGAAAATAGTATAAAACATGCTTTTATATTTTGTAGAAATATGGACAACTGACACCATCCATTAACCCCGATCTGACTAAACAACTAAACATCATAGAGAAGCCAAAAAGAATGGGTTGCACAGTTAAATAGACGGAGGGAAATGCATCCCCGTGGAAATCACTGGTTGTGCAAATTTTGGAACTTCTACATTGCCCGTGGGAATCATGGGATACGCAGCGAGAAGGTTAAATGAAGTTACATTAACTTTCTAAAACATGCATCTTTCTGTTGTAATGTCCTACCCCAAACAAGTTCTTTGCTATCCAAACAAGAATTATTGAATAAGATCTCTTTTTTTTTTTTTTTTTTCAAATTTAGTAACGTTTTTAATAATATTTCAATCTATTGAAAAATTTTTAAATCCAAATAATTTAATACCTTCCATATTAATATTATTGATTTTCTGAGAGTCATCATACCACTTTCTAAATATCACTTTGGGCATTTTGAACATATTCAAATTGAATTCTCAAAATATGTTTCATAATTTTAGGAAGGTCTTCTTCAACTTCGACAGAATCTTAAAAGACAGCTTGAAATCATCCGTAATCGACAGCAGCAAAATCAAACCAAGAATTCTGATGACTGGGTCATGCTTTGATAGGAAGCTATACCTTGAAGTTAAGAAAAGCTGATTGTTATAGAAACTGTATTGTTTCTAATACACTAAACTGAATTTTAAGGGTAATTAATATACTTTATTTACTATAATAAATGTATCATTTTAAGTTCCCTCTCCTTTTTTAACAAATTAAATTTTAGTGATGTAGGTCAGTAGTACTGTATCCTCAGTTTATTTACATTTTGATTACTTACTTTTATATAAACTTTTCCCATTAAATGCATGTCTGCAAACCAGATGTCTGAAATAATGTGAACTTAGCATTATTTTCTATTTTGGAAGACTATTTAATTGAAAGTGAAATTTATCAGATTGTGATTCATCTGTATAGAAAAGTGTACTGTGACTTTGTAATGATATTAATCCTCAGTAATGCATATATGCATTTTGTTTTAGTGCCTTTATTTATTGTTAAAATTTTTAATTATAAAAAGAAATATATGTAGGAAAACGCGTTCGGTGCAAACACTAATTGACTTAGCAACCCGTTAAGGTATAGTTATGTAATGTAGTGAAATTAAGTGTTGATTTATAAACCCTAACAGCAGATGGCTTCTGTTATATTACAAAAATAAAATGTGAAGTACAATTTGAATGTGAATTGAAACCCAAAATATTACACTAAACAAGTATTCTTCCTAAATGTTCTGAATATGTGGTATAGCTTTACAGCTAAGCCTTACTTATCCTTGATTACAAATTAATAGTCAACCTCCACCAAGCACCATATCATCCAGGATGGCAAAAAAACATTATATAAAAATGAATATGCTACAAGAATTTCAAAAAATATATCTGAAGAGTGCTGTAAGCAAACAAAGTACCGTATTTGACTGCATATAAGACGCACCCTTATTTAGAAGGCCATACACGTGTAGATGGAGAAAAAGTTATGTGTGTCTAGACCTTTATCCGGGCTAAAAATAGCATTCAGTATTGAAAGTTGACCTGTGTCCTTCACGTATAAGATGAAGGTAACTTTTTTTTAGACCAAATTTAGGAAAAAAGTGCGTCTTATATGCCGTCAAATATGCTAAATAGTCTCCATACAAGATACCCACCCACTTGAACTATATCTTGCTTCCAAGAGGATCCATCATAAGATTTACAACATAGTTATATCTTGCAATTGAGTGTATCATCTGGTACCTATACTCATTAGTCTGTTTGATTTTTTTCCATACTGTAGAGCTGTCTTGCTTTATGTATATGGTAGTTTTTGTGTCGTGTGACAGGTGTTGAGCAGAGGTATCTGAGTTGACTGATTGCTTCTATACCTCATAGTGAAGAGTCCATTCTGGATGATATGACTGCTCGCACTTCACTATACCTCATAGTGAAGAGTTCATTCTGGATGATATGACTGCTTGCACTTCACTGTTCTCCAACATTGGTTTGTTGGCTGATCTGCTGTACTGTGGCTTGTCTCTCTGCTGCTACTGAGCTACCCCACAGCAAAGCTTTTTATTCACAAGTTTTTATGCCACGAGAGTTTATTTTGTCAATGGTAATATTATTAAAATCCACGTACTCATAACAGACTATTAACATAATGGCTTGTGAAAAGCTTAATGTCTGCGTGAGTATGGAGATGAATGTCCCGTATGTCTAACCCTGACAATCTGGCCATGATCAAATACACCAAGGTTTCTAGTCATACCCATCAGAAGCTCTTATGTCTTTGATGTATAGTATAAGTTTCAATGAGTTCCCAATCATGTGCGTTTTCATAATTTTCATTTGCCACCGATGCATAATGTAACATTGCCAGAATGCCAACCATCTCTCATTAAATTCCTCATCGGTATACTGGTAGTAAGTTTTTTATAATATTGGTATTTATAAATAACAGTTTGCTGCCTGGATGCTGCAGTCCAATTGGCATATATTTTATCAACAATTAAATTTATACAGTATAATAATACCTCTGTTGGTTGCATTATTAACCAATATACTGTTACAATTTGAAAAGCATATTAAAGGTACTGTATGGTTGGTTGATTCATCCACTTATGGCCCACCATTTTATTTTCTTTCTTTTATAAATGAAGAAATTATGATAATGATTATATAAACGATACTCATGGAATTATATATACGATTACTTATTGAATTAAATTTTTAAAATTTTTGTATTAATTTTTAAAGGAATATATTTTTTTCTTTTTTGGGAAGGAAGGGCAGGATAGGTGCATCACTTTAATTCTCCCCCCCCCAAAAAAACAAATCGCTAAATATTGGTAGTTCAATCCAGGTTTGAGTCTTTGTGAATGGGCTGGTTGGATGGAAATTTTCATGGTTTTTCCTATGTATAACGTAAATATCAGCTAGTTAGCCTTAAAAAGTCCTCCATAAAAACTCTCATTTCTCTTAAGCAAAAAGCCCTCACATGCTTTGTTATAATTTGAATAATTTTCTGACCCTCAAAATATAACTAAAAATTCAAACAGATTTGTAATTCTCATTACAACTTAGTTGCTTTTCAATTTTTAATATAAATTTATAAATGTAAAGTTTGAAAAAAAATTCTTTTTTCCTACCAAACTAAGTACATTAGTTTGGTATAGTTCAAAGAATAAGTTTTTATTATTATTATTATTATTTCCTCTTTATCCTTTTGCTTATAAATGGAGACTTGTTTTAATGTATTCCTCTTCTTGACGAAATTCCAAATAATATATGTAAAAGTATATTGATTACTAGAATGGAAATAAACAAGCTTGTAATATTTATTGTTTATAGTTATATTTTTAAGTAATAAAATGAAATACATACATAAATAAAGTATGTAATTTTATATGTTTCCTCTGAAGAGTGAAATGTCATTTTTGTATTCAGACCACTTTGAAGAATAGGTTTGCAACAAATTTCAAGTAAGGATATGGCATTTCATCAATGCATATCATCATTATGAATGATATTGTTATCAGTAAAATAAAAAAAATTATATTAAATATTAATCAGAAGTATAATGTAGGTAATGTTAATTTTTAAAATGCACCTTTATGTAAAAAGGTGAGTAATAAATAGTATTTCACTCAAAAAAAAATTGGAGATCATGTAGCTTATGATTATTTTTTGCATTATTATTGAACTTTGCACATTAAATGCTTGCTAGTTACTTTTATACTGCATAATTTTAGATTTGTGTGAAATGCAGCTTATTAATAGTTGTGATCTTCCAGTATGATTGTGTTTGTAAAATCTCAGTGTGCAGCATATTTAATCTGTTATGACTGTAATCAATCAAAGCTTTCAGTCTTGTTTCAAATTTACAAATAAATATTTTTCATAAATGTTTTATATTGCATACTCACGTGTAATTTATCTTGTCTTACTAGAGTACTGATTGATTCAGCTTTTAATGCTGTGAATATAGATTTTAAATATTGACTTTTTACCAAATGTACAGTTGCTGTAACATTGAACGTGAGATTTTGTACAAAATGTATTTATGCTCAAGTTGAAATTTAACGTTCTGGCTTATAAGCAGATGGTTTAAATGTAAAATTCAAAATGCTCATATTATATGAGTTAAGTGGTACAAAAGAAATTCTTGATCATATCTTATAGCAGTTAATTGTTCTTGTTTAAAGTTTATTATTAATGTTTATGTAAACAGCCTGTACAGTATAATTATGTTTAAATAAACTGTTTTTCCAAACATTTTAAGCATTTTGATTAATGATTTTACATAAAACCCATTATTTGAATGGATTAATTATTAGAAGCTTGTATAAACACAAGTTAAAATATAAAAGAATGGAATGTATTTCAGTGCATTCAGTTTAAATTTCACTATTTATGCTTGATACATATTTACATTTTCATAAGTCACACACATCTCTCTCTCTATCTATCTATCTAAATAAATAATAAAAAATACATAAATCTCAAAATTATAATTTAAACTAGCCATGGCTTCTTAATTCTTCCTCTCTATTTTAAAAAATAGTTATGTAGACTATGTCATTATTGTAATGAAAGCATGTAATGAATATTGTAGAGACAATTAATGACTTAGATGGAGAAATATGGCATTTTGGCATTGTAACGAAAAAGATGTAGCAGTATTGGTGGCGTAGAATGCTGGATCTATAATGAACAGCAAACCTGGCAGTCGAGCCATATTAAATATTCATTTTATTTCAATTGTCATTTGCAGCCACAATTAATTCACTTGGCACTTTAATTGGGCCTATTCAAGAAGATATTAATATGTAAAATAAATTACTAAATTAGGAATAGCTTTTCAAATTTCTTCTTTAGATTTTTATGACTCCTCTTAGCATCTACACTGCATTTTTAAATTTAAAAAATCTGGTGTGAACATCACATGACTTTTTTGTACAGCATATTAAATTATAAAGATTTTTTGCTGCACTTAATTAAATCTTTTTTCCTCAAATTATTGTTACTTAATTAACCAGTCCCTCAAGGCAAGTTGAAAATAACATCAAAAACTGCAATTTTTTAAATTAAATATCCCACTTAATTTTTGTCATATGGGAGTCAAACTTGTTACAGTTTTATTTTTTTCACAATGAGTATAAAACTTTTCCAGATATAAGAACTGGGAGACTGCATTAAAAGTTAAACTTTGCTGTATGTCCAAAATAAATATTTTTTTTTAATTTGACATTGTGAACACATGAATATATGTAATTTTTGTCATTTAAAACACTTCTCTAATTGGAAGCATATGACTACAAACAACGATTGCAAAAATAAAGGCTGGGTAAGGGATTTTAAATATATATATTGGGTGTACAAAATAGTTTTGAGAAATTTACATAAGATGGCTTTACTAGTATTAAATCCTGTCAGACAATCTTGTAGCATTTCCATCTAAAAAATCATCTGTTTCATTTTGCTGAAGTGTAATAACAAACTTTCTTTGTGCTCAACCCATGTCAACCTTTGAACCAACAAAACAAAATTTCTGGTAAGTCTTTCTTTTTTGTTTAAATTTGAAAAAAAGTGCAGCTGATGGACATGGGGAACATTCTCCATCAATAACTCCATGTGACCATTTAAGTTTGAAGATGCTGATTTGGAGAGGTTCACGCCAAACCAAGATTCATGCCAAACTTAAGAGGAGCTCGCCAGAAACCTTGGAAGTGACTTAACAAGTGATTTCAAAGTGTCCCAAGGCCATGGATGTGGTGCAGAAACAAGAAAATTGGGTTCGGTATGAACTCAACCTAACAGACGCCGAATGCCGTTTTTTCACTTGCAAACAGCTGCTCCAAAGGCAAAATCGGAAGCTGTTTTTGCATCTAATCATGACAGGGGACAAAAACGTATCTACTATGACAATCCAAAGAGCAGAAAATCGTGTTCACCTTGTCCTAATGATGGTATAGTACCATAAGTTACCAATTCTCTGAGAGCCTTAAAATTGCATAAATATTAAATATTGCATCCATGTGTTTTTGATAAAAACATCGGGGTCTATAATTTCAGTGGTTGTCCCTCCAAATAACGAATGCTGTAATTTTTCTTTGCATTTGCTCATAAATTGTATTTTCATAGCGGTATTCTTCAAAACATAGGACCCATGTGACACTGAATCAGTGATAGCTCTTGCTTGTCATTTTTTATTTTTTCCTCTCAAAGTAACCATCAGAGTTTGTAATAAGACGTTTGTAGTTTTCGACAAATTTGCAAGTGTCTCGTCATATTTTGGTATTTGTTTATCGTCTTCTCTGATACTGCTGTTGGCATTACTTTTGGGTTTAGACTTGATGTTTTCGCACAAAAGTATGTGATGCTTTTTCCCACAAACTACACATAAAACTTTTTCCGACATTTAGCTATTCCATGTCCCCTATCCAAATACAAGAAACAGCTGCGGCTGTTTTGTACTATGCCTAAGCTTTCTTCTACTGACATCTTTCTGTCTTTCCAACAATCACTGGGTTCATGAACTCGCGAAAAAAATGTGCACAAATTTTGATTTTTTTTCTTTTGTCATAATTAAGGTGGAGGCCGATGGTATTGGCAGAGATTGGCTATGATTTTTTAAAACGAGCGTTTTGTGTTCCGTTGTCTGGAAGATGATTGGCTATGATTTTTTAAAACGAGCGTTTTGTGTTCCGTTGTCTGGAAGATTGATCTTTGACAAAACCTTTGCTAGCTATGGATACACATTCTTCACCCTCAATTTCATCAAGCAAAAACGAAGGTAAACCATCTAAATCCAAATGATGTGTCAATTCCTTTTCTCTTTTATTATTATTTTCCCCTTTTGCTTCTAGTTGTCTGTGGTCACGAATAACTGATCTAAATCTTTGCCACGCACAAAGAGTATCATCAGGTAATGATGATTCTACAGGTGTGTATAACATAGTTGCATGTTTATCTGTAGCAACACCAAGAACTTCTAACATGCAAAGTTTTGGTTCTAAATTATCATATCATATACAATTTTCTCGAACAAAATTTATGATTCGAATTCTTTTGCAGCACTAAAGAGAGAAGATCCCTCACATAAACTTCTATAAGACTGTCTTCTTTATCAAAACGTAATTGAAGTTGTTGCTAAGCTTTGTTGTAACATCACCCCCAGGGGGGAAACTTTTAATTAACTGTTAGGCAGGTGCCCCTCTTTCCATAGATTGTAATAAATATGCAAACTCGTCATCATTATCCAAATTATAATCGTAGTTTATTTTTTTAAATTGCCCTCAAAACCCTAATCAATTCTTTAAGTGTCCTCCGAAAACATCGTCGGAGAAAATAAAGCAAAGAGAAAATATCGCAGTTTTAAAACATCGTGGTACAAAATATCGTTGTCGAAAATAAAGCGGTTCAAAAACTTCGCAGTTTAGAAACATCGTCGTCAAAAATATCGTGATAAAAAATAAAGTACCTACAAATCATTGCATGCTGATAACATCGCAGATATGCGTTTTTATTAACTAATTAATATTTAGAAGTCAGACAACAAAAATCAGCGTTATATTTTCAAATTTTCACAGGTGATTTTTGTTGTCTGACTTCTAAATTAATATTTGTTCGGCATGTTATTGTATCTTAATTAATACTTGTTGAAAATGCAAAATGGAAACTTAAGCATAGAAAATTAATGCAACTTATAGCACTTAATAGAATTTTAAACTGACATAGTTAACTAACAAAGGTCATTGATAAATTATTTTTTATAAAGTTTTACTGGTAAATTTTCATGAAAAATATAATCTAAAAAGGAAAATAAGTAACTATGAGTTTATCATAAAAAACTGATTTTCACCACATGACTGATAGTGTTTGTTATAAAGCATAATTTTAAGTTTTAATATTTTGGCAACATTGATAGTAAATTGTAAAATGAATAAGTTAAAAATGTATCTGGAAGACGGAGAGTTTCATTATAACTTTCAGATAGAACATTAATGTTGTTTAGGCTTAACAAAATCGCCAATTTCTCTAAGAGAAAAATTAGACTTGTATTATAATTAGTGAATATAAATCAGAAAATACGGCATATAATATGATAAATTTGAGTCATACAGAAAAATTAAGTGATGATAATTATTTTATTTGGGCCAACAGAATTGAAAGTGAATTAAAAAGTTTAAAAATATGGAGAAGTATGATAGAAGCTGATGAACCACCAAAACCATATAAAAAGGATGATGTTAATTTCGAAAATGAAATAAAAACTTGGGAAATATGGGATGATAATAACGCGATAGCAAGAAATATAATGAATCAAACTATGACAGCTCCACAAGCGTTAAAACATGCGAATGAAAAGAACGCAAAGAAGTTATGGGAAAAAATCAAAAATGAAATGGCAGCAGCAAGAACAGAAGATATTCAAATCAAATGTAGAATAGAATTAGTTCAACTGAAAATGACTCAAAATGAATCAGTAGATGATTATATGAATAGAGCTGTAATTCTAAAGTAAAAGTATTCAAGTTGGAGATGAAATAAGAGATAAAGAATTAATTTACTTCATACTAGAAGGACTTAGAAAGGAATTTGATGTTAAAATTATTAAAAGCAATAAAGAGAAAGATCTAGCTTCAATTAGACAAGCTTTAAAAGAAACAGAAGGAAAAAATAAACAAAGAGGAAAAGAAATAGAAGTAAGTTCTAAGGCAAAAGAAAACTGGATAAAATCGAAATATGAAAGAAGATGCTTTAATTGTGGAAAATTAGGACAATTAATAAAAGAATGTCGAAATAATAATAATATTATAAAATGCTTTTGCTGTGGAAAATTCGGCCACAAATCAACTGAATGTAAAATGAAAACTAAACAAAAACACCGACAGCAGAGAAATGTAACAAATAAAACTTATAGAATGTCAAGGAAAGAGAATATGAATCAGCTACATGCTTATTTGAAGTACCTAAGAAAATAGAAAGCACATATCTTAATCAAGATAGAAATGATGGAAAGAATAAAATAAATGAACAACAGAATAGAAAAATTAAATGGATTATTGATTCAGGAGCCACATCTCACATGGCAACTAATAAAGAAATATTTACTCATTTTAAAGATGAAGAACGACAAATAATGACGGCTGAAAAAGGGGCCATGATCAAATAGAGTTGTATTGGTAACATTAAAATGCAAACTGATAGAAATAAGAACTGATAGAAAATGTTCTGCAAGTACCGAATTTAAGGGAAAATCTGCTGTCAGTA